GGTTGAAGTAAACATGTACGATGCGTTATTATTTCTAAAACAATTATAATAATAGTTCCTACTCTGTAAGACTGAAATTGGACAGTATGACACTTAACGCTTCTTTTCAATTCGGATAAACATTGATAAAAGATATCATAATAACGACATAAACCATTATCGCTGATTCCTCGAGTCCATCTTAAAACATAAAATAATTATTTTTATTAAAAAGTATTAATTACCAATTTAAAATCAAAAGAATGAAAAATGTCATAAAAATTAAATATCTGTTTGAAATTGACGTAATAAAATTAATATAAAAGATACAAAATTAATTTTGTATATTAATATACAATATAATATTGTGTATTATATAATATTGAATAACGTATGGAGCTTACAAAATATTTGCGCACTCGCTAGGTTGGATATATGTGACTTATTACGCGAAAATCCCGTACCTATATGCATTTGTACAATGACAAGTACCTGCAGTAATAGATCATCAGTTATATATTACTGAGTAAGTTATATTTAAACATTTTCACACATTAATTTGTAAGACTAAAAACACATTTTATAGATTTTTTTTTTTATATGGGTGCAACTTATAATTAGATATTATTGAGGTTATTTATTCTCAACACTGGTTTGTTCATTGGTTCTCAACATTTTTTTATAATCATTTGATGTTTGACTAGTCTACTAAGTAACATTTGAGAATTGAAAATTGCAAATTATCATGAAATATTTTGTTTATGTCATTAAAAATTATAATAGGTATAGCCGTATAGGTACCTATAGGTACGACCATTTATGACTATAAACTCACGTATCATCGTAAATTTAATCAGTCTACGTTAAAAAAAAATATATATATATATGGAGAAGTGAGTATATACTATATACCATCATATCCATCAATAATGTCATCGTAAGCTAAAATACCGTCAGTCACTGGAGAATGTGTTTGAGAAAAACGTGTTTTCATACTTTACATTTTCTTAAATCAGAACACTCTGTCTTCGTGTTATACAATCAATTCTTTAAGTATGGTATATATGTTTTATTGCATGATTTTACCTGAAAAATGTAGGTACCTAATGGTTAAATTATAGTTTTTAATAACATATCTTATTTGTACGAGTAAACTTAGAAAGAGTGCTTACAAAATTTTGTTTTTAAAGTTTTGTATTACACGCAATGGTGTGTTTTGCATTACACACGTAATGGGCAGGCATACAGGTACATCACATTGTGTATTTTACGCTTGCTGTGTACATCATTGTATTAACCAGTAGTACTACAGAATTTCGGTATGTTTACAGTTTATACTCATGTTACACCGAGTTGTTCATTAAATCCCATTCAAACGTTTCAAACCACCGCCGTCAACGCCGCGTAGTATTGTAGATACCTAGGTACCTATTACTTATTTAAAATATAGGCGCGTCTGTTTTCCGTTTTTATGTGGACATTGACATTTATTGTGTGCAGAGACACATACACGCTGTAGGTACTTATACAGTATTAATAATATGTGTATACTGAAACATAAAATATCATAACGAAACTATTTAACCATGTGCACGAGTGCTCGTATTTAGTTGTCGTGTATATAGCTATGGCTACCATCATAGATAGGTATAGATATACCATATAGTTAATGCACTATCTTCACTCAATTGTAATATATCTGCTGACACAATGTCGGCCATAATACCATATTATAATATGTATTATGATGCAGCATATACACGCAGGCACAGTGCCAGATTTTTTCCTGTTGGCAGGCATTTATTTTTTTATAAAATATAGACTACATTTTTAACTTTTTTAAATCAAATTTGTATACCGAATACGATTTACATAAAATTAATTTTGGTTTTCGTATATACGAATCGATCGAATATAATCCGTGATCTATATCACGGATATAGTTACTAAATAGTTACTTTCAGAAATACGCTTTATAATATACGAATATATATATATATATATATATATATATATTATGCTAAATTATGATACATATAAACTGTTCCTAAACTTACTTGTTAATAGAAAATAGTAAAATAAATTGAAAATTAAGACATAAAAAATAAAAACTTTAGATTATAGTATCTTGTAACTGTAAAGAGAAAAGAATGGGTCTTTGGGGGGGGGGGGGTACGATTGTATCCTTTTGCTACGTACAATTGTGCACTTTCGTCACTGATCACTTTTACAGCGACGTAACCGAGAGGGATCAAAAGGTGCACGAGTACGAGAATCCCGCGCTATCAACGCAATAGTTACCAATGTGTATGGCAACTCATGCTTAATGTAAAAATGCATATTTTATAAGTAGGTAGTATTAAAAGGTGAGCTTATTGTTGGCTCATTTAAAATCGTGAGTTTTAAGACGGATTCACTAAAAAACTTTAAATACTGTCTAATACTCAATTATATAGTTAATCTTGGTGGATGTATGTATCTAAAAAAAAATTGTAAAATAAGTTCAGTAAGTGGATGAACTTCCCTTCACATTCCAAGGATAAGTATTTGTTTAGATGAGAGGGAGGCTGTTGAAAATTTCGTCTAAATTTAAAAGTTACGTCTCGGCGATCATATTATATAGACTCATAATACCATAGAGTATCGTTAATATGCGTGTTATCGAATTGTGTAATACTTAGCTTACAACGGATTATTTTTTATATTAATTATGTGTACATCGAAAAGTTTGGCTAACAATGAACGACGGCCTTCGCGCGTTTCCGGTTCCTCGGTCATCCGAAGACCGTTTAGAATTAAATTGTTGCCCTCGTCATCATTACTATACGTATAATATTATAATATGCTGTCCCACACAATAAATATATTATTTTTTTTTATATAAGCACCTTTACGTGTATATGTTATATTATTATATTATTGTGCTATTTGGTTAGAATCGTATTCCATTCAAAAAAAAAAAAAAAAAAGGACTCGCCACTACTGCAGTCGCGGCGCCCATCGTGTACGTTAAAATAAATTTTAGTTATAAATATGTGTAGTCTTACAATTGTGTTATAGACACTGCTAACTCCGAACGATACTAGTACGAAATAAATAACAATAGATGACAATATTTGTTTTATGAAAAAACCTTAATAATATAATATACCTTTATACCTGTATTACTTCGTGTATGTCATATATATATTATATTTTATTATGATTAAGTCGTCACTGTGTGTTGAGTAGTTAAAATTATTGTACCATGCTCATTTTTTATATGTATACATACAATTTATAGATACCTAATATTATTATGTATGCCAAACACGTCGCATGTACAGTTTTTGCGCCGTTGTCATCGAGATACCGTTCATTATTCAACGTATACTTTAATTATTACGAGTAGGTATAACTACTAGTATTTAAAATTATAATAATTATAAAATACTAATATATAGATAGGTAAGAACGTTCCCTTTTTGAAATGTGTCGATACTTTTATTTTTAAATATGTGTACTCTTATATAACATATAGAAATAGATAATAAATCGGTATGCATAATCTGAAACTATTTAATGAAATTAATTAATTGAAGTAATGAAAATATATAAAAGTAGACATGAAATTAAAAAAAATCTGATTACTAATCACATTTTTTTAGATGAAAATATGTTTGATATATATATATATATAAATTCTTATTCATTTTTATAAAAAATGTAAGTTATCAGAAAATTAAAAAGTATTTATTCAGAATAAAAATCAAACGTGTGTGTTTTTTTTCATTAGTTTATTATCGTTTCGTATATATTTTAAATATTACATGGATAAATAAAATTAAACTGATTAAATTCGACAATAGCGTTTTTGATTAGTTTCTAGAGTTCTACAATGTGAGTACCCATACCTACGACTTACTTATACTTTTACATTTTTAGATATAACTATTTTTAGTCCACTATTTAATTCACTAGTCACATATTTAAGTAATTTCTATTAGAGTTAAGGTACTAATGATAGCATTAGATAAGAGTTTTTGAATATCGTGAAATAAATTCCTATAAAACTATTAATATCACCCATAGTAATAGATACAGTTAATGTAAACTTTAAATAGTTTAAACTAAAAAAAAAAGAATAAGAAATAAAATAATAAGAAAAATTATAAAATCATTTATTATTTATATATTTATATATATTATATTCAAATTATTCATTTTCAAAGATAAGTGTTTACAATAATTTTGGTTTATGTATTTATTGACAAAATTAATTTTTATTTTGTCACATTAAAATTATTGATTGTTTTACTTATTTTGAATCGTTTGATTAATTTCGTTAAGATATAGATACGTTCTGATAAACTTTAGTACTTAGTATAGTAATTCGTTTATTACAAAGAAGATCTAATTAAAATATTTTTTGAAAATTGGTGTACTTGAAATAATTTATTTTCCTTACCTAATTGTTTATTGTTCTATAAAGATGTGTACTTTAAAATGTTGTTTTACCAAATAATATATTATACTTATAAATTCCTTTGATTAACTAACTTCAAACTACTCATATTTATTTTTTATGACATCTCAGATTTCATTTATTTTCATATTTTTTGTTATCATGTTTTAATCGTTATCTTAATAAATCTTAAACATTCTAATCATGTAAATTGTTAAATAAATGATTTAGTATAAATAAAAAGAAAATTGTTTAATTTTTGTAATCATATGCAAATATTATATTATCTAGATTCTAATAGAACATACGATTTTTAAATTTATATGTTTGACCCAACCGTTAGCTGCTTATTATTACCGTAAAAATTAATATAGGTATACAGTAATATTTATTGTAATAAAACTAATAACTATAATAAGTGATGCACATAAGTAAAATTATTTAGTGTTCCTCAAATCGTGTTTAATAAAATATTTATATTTTACTTTTTTTCAAACGCTAAAAAACATTGTTGAGATTTAATATTTAAGCAAATTATTACGTATAATATATTATCAAATATTGTATATTTTTACAGATTGCAATGGCTGGGATATTCATTATGTCGATCTTGGATTAGATGCGCTACAGCTGGAAAATATTTGATTACTATAACATTGTTTGTTTTCTTCCAAACAGCGTCGCAGAGATATTTTTTTTCAACCTTAGAATCAAAAAGCTATAATATACCTAAAGATATATCAAGTGTGTATTATGGATAATATCTAACTATATACATGGAAGCAATAGTTTCCTAACTAATTATAATGATTGTATAATTATGTATTCGTGCATTTTTTGTAACCTAGATTGGCTATGGATTATCAGTGGATTTGTTCATTTGACGTTGTCAACATTCGTTGGATACCGAGGGGGAAAACGCAACAAGAATTCGTGGATTGCATTTTTTGGGATCCTGCAAGGAATTTTTGCCGTCTTACTAGCTTTGATCAATGCATCCGATCATTACAGCTTTCAGCGACCATCGGCTTTAGCTTTGGCCACGTTGGGTAATATAATAATAAACGCATATTATATTAATCATAGCTATTAAATCGACTGAATACAAACATTCAAAATATTTTCCCTTATAGAAACGCCACTGTGCGACTCCATTCACGGTGCCCACGTAAAGGAATCGTACGTCCCGTTTCACTTGGTGAAAACTGCAGTGTTGTTCTTGCTCCAAGTTAGCATGTCTTTGGGAAGTACAGCCTTATTGGCTTTAGGCTTAGGTCTACTCGATGAATCGGTAACTCCGACCAAAATACCGGCTTGCATAGGCGTGGTCATCGGTTCATCGCTACTGGGCCTCCAAACGGGGTTGATGGTGGGGAAATTTGCATTTCACGTAAGCACTAACTTCAATTTGGCCGGTGATATCGTATGGCTCAGTAAGTCTCAAATATATTGCTCTTACTAGTTTATACATCAACTCAAACTCCATAGTGCTTTTCGTTTAAAAATCTGTTGTTTAATTCAACAGCTATTGGTCTGATTTTGATTGTTGTATCTTTCATCGTGGCCTTATATCCAAGCAGACTAGTCACGAGCCAAGCTTCAACGTTAATACGCAACAGTCCAATTTATCGAAACAACAGATACGGTACGTGATACAATGTAATTTAAAGTTTGAGTCGGATTCCGATATTAACTTGTTTGCATATTTTAATAGATTTCAGGAGCACGCTGGGAAGAATTTTCAGTAATAAGTTAATTTTATCCAATATTGCCGCCATCGCATGCGTATACACAGTATTAATTAATATGTTGTACGAAGAACCTAATTACATGGAATCGGTGTTTTTCGTGCCCAAACACACAACAGATGCAACTGATCAAAATACCATAATCGTTGGTTTGTAAATACTATATATAACCTAACCTAACCTGACAACATTTATTTAGCAAATTATAGTAAAATTAATAATCTAATCGGCATTAATAATAAATTGTACTCATTATTTTTTGCGGTTTATGTAAAAAAAATTGTATTCAGAAATCATTTTAACTTATAGTTTAACTGGTTTAAACACGCTATGTCTATGTAATGTACAATAATAATAATTAATGTGCAATTTTTTTATGTTTTAGATTTTCTAAGATATCCTTTGGCAGCAGTTTGCGTGTTTTTATCAGGCGTATTAATATGTATTGTACAGCCAAGAGCTACGCTATTAGCCGCCTGGAACATTGGCATAATTTGTGTTGTGACTATATTAGTCTTCACCAGCATGTTCTTACGGTGTTCCAAAATACAAGTACACAATCAAATAACACACAAGTAAGAATCGGTATACTAACTAAAAGAACAATTATCATCTAAAGAGTGTTTCTCGTTGTTTGATATTTATATATAGGTCCGATCTAAACGAATATTGCAATAAAGATTGCAATTGCCCGGACAATATTCCATTTGAACCGGTTTGTTCGACAACCAGCCATATAGTCTATTATTCACCCTGTCACGCCGGTTGCAGGACCCAAGACCTGTATTCCAGACAGGTGGGAAATGCGCATAATTAATTCATATTAAAAAATGGTGTACGACATAAAAATATAAATAATTCTCATCACTGCAGGAGTATGTCAAGTGTGCTTGCGTCCACACCGATTACGCCAGCAAGCGTGCTTGTTATGATCATAACTGCCACCAAATGAACATCGGGTATCAATCAATTTCAGTGTTGATCCTGTCGCTGTTGGGCACGTGTATTGTTGGTACAATAATTTTATTGCTCAGGTATAATAATACAGATGGGTTTAAACTTTAAGTATGGCCGGTGATCCATTAAACACGGTCAAATCAATAAAATTAATACAAAGTAAATCGTTCAAGCCAATGTTTGTGTTCTAATGATGTTATTATCAGACATTTAATACAGTTATCGAATAATATTTTATGTACTGCATATTGTACTCGTAAACGGGGTTTTAATTTTTTATCCCACTGATCGCCATACCTTACAATTTTAGAAGCGTAGAACCTGATGACCGCACCACAGCTTTGGGATTCGCCGTAACTTTCATTTGTTTGATGGGACATGTGCCTGGAAAAATACTTTACATATTTGTTGGACGTACGTATTAAATTATGAATATACTAACTATTTTACTATAACATAAAGTTGATTTAACATTACTTGATTAGACAACATGATGATTTAATAAAATCGAATCGTTTATTTTTCAGATTTAACGTGTATTTTGTATGACAACAACAATCAATGCCGGTTAAATGGCTCCGCGACGTTTTCCACCTATCTCAGTCTGTCCAACATATGTAAGCGTAACCTATCTACAACTGTGGCGTGCAAATTGTAAATCTTGCTAAAATATTTTTCGCAGGTATACTCATGACGTCAGCAGCGCTCTATGCATGCGTGTGCTTAATGTCAAGGCCATTGCGTCCGTATGGAACTTCAGATTCTGCGAAAAAATTTATCGCCAACTCGGTATCGAGTCCGTTGAGTCCGTTAACACCGCCCGGATTTGAAGAACGAGCGCCCACTCCGACCAGAAAGCCTCCGAAGAGAAGACCGTCCGATTTATCATTTTCTGCTTCGAACACCAATATTGATTTTACCAGACATACAGATGACTATTCACCAAGGAGTCCCGGAACAACGCTCAGAGAAGGAGGCGTCTTAACTACATTACTGTAATGAACTTTTATAAAACAATGTGAACACACATGAACTACGAAGGAGATATTATATATGCGATTTGAATATCCAACGGCTCAGATCGATCACTGATACATGTATATAATATTCAGGTATAAATTACATGAATATTAAACTACAGGTGCCTCAGTAAGCGTAAACAAAATCAAAATTAAACACGCCATACTATTTGATTTAAAAATATATTATGTACCAATCTAGTCTATGGCTTAAGCTGTAAAATAGAGGATATAATTTGGTCCTATAACTCCTAATTTATTGAACTTAATAATAAAACCGTGCATGTTTAAATAAAACTATAAGAATAGCAAAACTTGTGCACATTTACTTAATAAAAAATTGTATACGATAACAATCAAAACGTATTATAATTTTTAATGGTGTACTTATAATAATAAAATAATGAATTAATAACGGTAATGTATATGTATATGTATGTTTTAATTAATAAATTTAATAAACTGAGAAATTAATTTAAGAATTGTACTTACTCAAAATTATACAATGAGTAACGAATAACGATTGACATTTTGTTGTAACCACTGCAGGTATTTGTGTGGATAAAATATATTTAGTTATGATGTTTTTTATAGAAAATAATTTATGATGGATTTTATTTTATTTAAGTTAATCTCATATTATAATAGTTGCAAAATAAAATAGGTATTTTAATTTTTCAATGTTTTCAAAACAAAAATTATTTATTTTAAATTTGGTAGGTTAGGTTGTAAATACATTAAATATATTTGTGAATGAAAATTATTATAACATTGGATACATCTTAAATTTTAGACTTTAAATAGTTAGTTAAATATTGTTTTCCTAGATAATTTAGTTTATTAAAATCTACTAGGTAGATAAATAATTATAAAATATATATTTTCAAAAATTCGTAATAGTAGGTATTGATTGTTTCATAATAATTAAGGATTTCTTTACAAATCAAAATATCCAAAGAATTAATAAATTAGTTTTCTTGTTGATTTTATTTAGTTTAAAAGGACAAATGATACTTATAACACAAGTTTTAACATAATAATTTCTGACTACTTTTTAAACTTATGATAAAACGTATGTTTTAATTTGTGTTCATATTTATACATACCGACATGTATAATTAATTATCGTTCATTTTTAACTGTTTTTATAATCATTCCTTGTAACATAATTAATAAACTTTACTCTATATATAAATAAGATAAACGAATTTATATGGTTTTAAATGTCACGCATTAACGTTAATTTCATTTAAATAGCCTATTCAAAATGCGTAGGGAGGCGTAAAGGCAACAGCGTTATATATATATATATAATTACACACTAATTTCTTTGTTATGTTTGCTTAAGTCTAACTACCTACCAACTCTAGAAGTATGATCAAGAAATCAATATTGTTATTAGACCATTAGACACTCAAAATAATATTAATCTTGTATGATAGTAAGGTTTTGAAAAAAATGAATCATAAGACATTGCAATAATTTAGTATGTAGGTATAATATTTTCCAAAACCTGTTAATTTTATTAAATTTACATAAATATTTATTAAATATTGTATTTTCGATACACATATTTTATTTATATTGTTGATTTTACACAATTCTAGTCAACAGTTTTTTTTCATGTCGTTTATGATATTTTAAAACAAGTCAAAAGTTTTGAGTAATTAGCTTTGACCAAATTAGGCTCTTATTTAATAATTATTAAATGATTATATAATATACTATATAAGTACTTGTATTACCTGACTACTGTGTAATTTATTAATAGAATTCCATTTGTTATTCAAATTAAAATAATCTTGATTCACTACTTATATTTTCAATTTTTTTTATAAACATATACGTGACATTATTGAGACGATTCACTACGTGAATTTTATCATTGTAAACATCGCTGATAATTGATCTTTCACTGCCATAAAATATTAATTATTTAATAATTAAATAATAATAGTTATCATTATAATATAATGATAATTATAAATATTTAAACGATCATGAAGACATGACAAAACTATAAAAATTAAATATATTTTCCTAAAAATAATATGCATTATTTTAATTATTGTATAATTTACGGTATACCAAAATGTAAATGATAAATTTATATGATTCATTCTAAATTAAATTTTTAACCAATAATTATGATGACGAAAATGTAAATTTAATATTTAAAGGTTTATTTATAATGTTTCCCTACTTCTTGTTATTGTCTTCTTATTTTAAAATTTAATAATATTATTGTATTTTTGCAACATTTTATATTAATATAAATATATGTTTATTTTTTTGTAAAGTATTATCGGTAGTTTTAGACGTATTTTTAATTAAATGTATAAAATACAAATGTTTTGCAATTTATTTTACAGTAACAATTTTATTATTGTAACACGTATAGTTTACTTCACGAAGTAGAGAGCCATATATAGACAGCATATATAGGTAGTATTATGATCGAAGGACTATTTATTGATTGATGAGCATTTTTAGTAGATATAATTTTAAGGACTGCGTGATTTTCTGAAAGTTCAAAATTACGATTTAATCACAACGTTATTTTAAAATATCACTTCTATCTCGTGCCGAAAATTTACGGATATAATAACGACGTCTTACGAAACGACAATAAACATATTATACGCAATTACGGTAATAAATTATTATTTATCAGTTATTTTTAAGTGCGGTAATGTGATATATCTCAAAATTAATGACAATGACTATTATAATAATACATCATATAGCGAAAAAAAAGTAACAACAACGCTCGCCTTAAGCGTTAGTTACGAAATTTTTATTGATGTATTGTTCAAATTTTAATTTTCCACCTACTTAAATTAGCTTAATTTTTTCAAAATAAAACAAAAATAAACTGTTGCTTACAGGATATATTATAATATGATTAATATTTATCGACTAGAAAAAGTTATAAAATTCTTTTTTAATTTTAGAAATATTGAGGTTGATAAATTATCAATCCCTGTTTAAACGAATTTATATTCCAATAGACAATAGTATATTAATTATTATTATATACAACGAGGTATCTTAACGTTTCTCAACAGCCGTCTCTATTGTAAATTGTGTACATATAAATGTAGGCACATTGCTCGATCATTTTCGCAGTTTAAATCGAATGCAATTAATATTATTTTTTAATCCATCTATATTTTCTGTTGTCTACGTAGATACAACTCTGTGAACACCAAAATATCTCTTGATTTTCAAAAAATGTTCTCAATTATATTAAATAGATATTTTTTATTTCCTTTAAAATACTGCGCGGAGCGATGAACGTATTGACTCTACAATAATATGTGTTTATTGAATACATTTTTCCTTTTTCAAATAATATAAAAAAAATCCTACTAATACGAAAAAAAATTTGTTAAGAATACAAATATTTTATATATACCTACTTATTCAAAGTACCTACTCAAAAGGACTCATATTTTGGTGTGTTGATAAACTATGAATTCAAATAGAACAGTTTATATGATTTTATTGATACTTCAAAGTTCAAAAGTGATTCTATTGATCTTATTTGAAATATTTATAGGCATGCACATATTGCTACACATAATACTGTTAATACAATACTATTCTATTATTATATCCGTGCATAACCTAACCGACGAGGTAAAGTTATTGCTTGACATTGCTATTCAATAAAATAAGGATATTCAATGTAAACAATCTTTTTAACAAATAAAAATATCAATTACATTATTTATGCGGAACTAATAACACTGCACTTGTAATTCGAGAATTCATTTAATATTTAGATTATATGAACAATATTAATTTATATATTCGTAATTCGTTGTATATTATATTATATTGTATTGGAAAAAAAAAGTAAAAGCCGTATTCATAAAATATTGAAAAAAATGGATGTAAATCACAGTTTAAAAAGAAAACCCAATTTTTATTTTTTATTTTCAATAAAAAAAAAAAAAAAAAAAAAGTGTACTATAAAAAAACAATTATCTTTAAATATATTTTTATGTGCACAGACTTTAGTATAAAATGTGTCACCGTAGTGTCACAAGAAGCTTATATAGATGGAGGATTTATGTAAATCATGGCACAAAGAATCGTACATGAAATAGAAAAAATAGGAGACAAATCGTAAAAGACAAAAGTTCGACATAATAGTCATTCTGACGCAGCATGCACAAAACATCAAATTAGTTGTTGACGTATTGCAGGTATACCCTTCACCCTTCACCCACATTATGATTAAACTTATTATATCAATAATAATATCACGAAAGACATAAATGAACATGTTAATATTTGCGGTTAGAATAATCATACGAATAATTAGATTTGGATTCACAGTACATGCCTGTCCATTTTCCACAGTGTAGTGTGTACGTCATGTCTTAAGCGTTTGTGTGCATGAAATGCTTGTTTATATTATTATGGTTGATCAGTATAAATGTGTAATAATAGTTTTTTACGATACAACACTTGATACGAATAAGATACAAAGCAAAACGGTATGAATCATTGTTAAGTATAATAATTTAATAGTGTAAAAATAATATGATATTAAATATTTGTGGTAACTGGTAATGTCCCGTGTAACAGAAATGAGATCTCCCCAAAGGGAATCTCCTCTTATAAAAAAAAAAAAAAGATTAATCCAAATCGCGCTACCCGCATTAAATGTACGTTATCTAAAAATAATTATTTATTCATAATATTGCTTAAAAGATATCGACGGAACGGAATCGGATGAAACGGATGGATGAAAAGGATAGATAATTTCACGCTGTAATCGAGAAAAATAGTCCTCACAAAAGTCGTTCTCACGTCTAAATAAAAATAAATGGACAAAATTCTGCTTAACGTGCATTTGGAGTTAACATTTTTTTCGTCGAAATCACAAAAATTTCTAATATTTTGTAATAAACGACACGTGTACCTACATAGTTTTCAAGGAGTTTTATATATGCAATCCATAAACAACAAGAAGATATAAATTGTCGCTACAGCGTATTATGATCGTTCATTATATACCTACCAACCTATGTTCATTCACGTTTTTGAAGTAGCATACGTGTTTGGCCCATTCAACATTTGTGTTCAATGTCTTAACAATAAGTTTTAAATTTTTCGTAATGATATATTTTATTATTCTATACGCACTAGGTTATCAAATTTATTTTAAATACAATAGTTAATGAACAATAACTCATTCACTAATCACAGGAACCGCAGCATTCCTCTAACAAATATCCACTGACGGAGGAAGAAACAAACGCGCCAACTATTATGATTTTACACGTAATGGTAAAACAACACTTTTTTCGTATC